GCACGGGTATATTTGTAGCAATAGCCAACAATACATTGTATGGGTCAAAATTATAGATTTTTCTTTTATGCCAAAAATCAAAAATCATTCAAATAAAGATCATGTTCCATGAAGATATTTTGTAAATTTCCTACCGTAAATGTATCAAATATCAAAATTTGATTAGTAATATGCATTGCTAAGAACTTCATTTGGACAACTTTAAAGCCGATTTTCTCAATATTTAGATTTTGTTTTTTGCACCCATAGTTGTATGTCGGCCAAATATTGTCCGATCCTAACAAATCATACATACATCAACGGAAAACGTATTTATTCCGCTTTCAAATGATGTATAAATCTCAATTTCGAAAAATTGACACTTAAGACTGGTTTTGTGGTCCAGGGTCACATTTATTCATTCAGCAGATTCTTTTATCTAATGTGTCTTACAAATGAGGAAAATCACAAGCAATTGTTTCTAGTAAAGATACAGCCGTTCCTGTGTAACTGTAGGCAATAGTAAACAGCATTCAGAAACATTGACACATTACTGAATTGTATAATAAATTTGAATTGAATAGCAAACAGGACGCAATTTAAACGGACAAAATAGATTTAAAATAAATTGTGTATGACTCTTGGAAAATTAAGTTTATCAAGGTTTTTTTATTTATTTTATTTTTATTTTTTATTTTTATCATGTGTGCAAAGTTTCAAGTGTTTTTGAGCATGTTAAGGGCCCCAAAAACATTAAACAAAATAAAATAAATATAGCTGCAAGCAGCGATGACGGGCCCAAGCCCTCGACGCCACTGCCACGCCTGTTTATTTATTTATTTTAGTTGTAGTTATATGCCTTATATGCATTAAAAATAGATACATTTCTCTATCCTAAATGTAATTGTTGCCATTTAAATTCAAACTCCTTGAGAAGAAACTTTTTATAAAATGTCTTCCTAATGGACTGCATACTTTGTCTTAACAGATGGTGAGATGCTTTTTGCCTCCTATGTAGTGTGTGATGTGACAGGTGGCTTTGTTTCTGACCGAACTACATCAATGTCAGGCTCCATCCATCACAGAAAGCAGCATGTGTGTGTATTTGTGTCTAGGTACTTGAGTTTTGTGTGTCCTAACCTGTTTGTGTGTGTGCGTCTTCCTCCTAACTCAGGTCACCTTCAGCTGCCACCTTCACACATCACCAGTGTATCGCTGCCTTGCTTATCAATTCCTCCTCCAGCAGCAGCGTTCGGCTCAGAGCTGGTGTCGGCTGCCGTGATTGACACCAGCTAACTGATAGGCTAACCCACTCTCTCCCTTCCTGCTTCTGATCCGCCCCATGCCTACTAATTGCAGTAAAGGCCAAGTTTCTATGACAACCTTATTTACGTGATTGTGCCGTTGATGGGCTCGGCGCTCAGTCAAAAGACATGAAGAAAAGCATGCGCTGATGTCTCCAAAGATTTCAAGTGGATCTAGATAGTTAGTTTGTGGACCTGGTGGCTTCCTTTTGTGTGTATTTTGCTAATTAATAACTGTGGGAACACACTTCCTCATCTCTTGTGTGCATCTAGTAGTCCAGGGTAGAACTGCAGTGAAGATATTTGCAGTTTGAAATAAAAATGTTTTATTTTTTATTTTTTTTTATGCATGCTGTCACAAGTGGCAAGGGTATTGTATATATTATCATGTATGTATATCTTCCTATACATACTTTTGAAGAACACTGTATATGAAAATCTACTATATAAACATGCATATGTATTTTAAAAATAAATACAAAATAATAGTAATTTACCACTTATTTAAAACGCTCTTTACATATATTTTTTTAAATAATCATAAAATAATCACATCAGATGCATAAGAAATAAAATAACAATAAAAGAAACATATAAAAAAGATAAATTGGAAGGAAGGAAAATAAGATGATAATGATGATGAATAACTTATTATTCATTATTGCACGCACACACACACACACACACACACTCACACTTACACGCACACGCACGCACAAATAGTACCGCTTTATACTCGTCTTCTGTTCAGAGTAGTGCTGTCAAACCATTAATCGCGATTAATCACATCCAAAATTATGTTTTTTGTTTACATGATATATGTGTGTGTACTGTGTATATTATGTATATATAAATACAAACACATGCATGCATATATTTTGAAAATATTTACATGTATTTACATGCACATATGTAACCCTGGAGCACAAAAGCAGTCCTAAGTTGCTGGGGTATATTTGTAGCAATAGCCAACAATACATTGTATGGGTCAAAATTATAGATTTTTCTTTTATGCCAAAAATCATTAGGATATCAAATAAAGATCATGTTCCATGAAGATATTTTGTAAATTTCCTACCGTAAATGTATCAAAACTTAATTTTTGATTAGTAATATGCATTGCTAAGAACTTCATTTGGACAACTTTAAAGGTGATTTTCTCAGTATTTTGATTTTTTTGCACCCTCAGATTCCAGATTTTCAAATAGTTGTATCTCGGCCAAATATTGTCCGATCATAACAAACCATACATCAATGGAAAGCTTATTTATTCAGCTTTCAGATCCTTATGACCCTTATGACTGGTTTTGTGGTCCAGGATCACATATGAGTTTGTTTTTAACACACTTCTGTCTGGCTCAGACATTAACGAGTGTCTGGAAGGAGATTTCTGCTTCCCGAGCGGAGAGTGTGTGAACACGGACGGATCGTATAAGTGCGTTTGCGCGCAGGGCTACAAGAGCGCCGCTAACGGGACGTCCTGCCAAGGTATGACACCAGATGTGATGCACAGCCAACATCAAGCTGCCGTTCCTCACTAAACCTGTGGGGAAAAGACTGGCGCTTTTCTCAGCAACCTTGAATTTAGATTTGGAGTTGTTTCAATCTCTCCAGTGTGAAATATTCCTTAATTCTCTGATGGAATGATTAACTGCATTAGTCAAACGTCTGAAGTAAACGTTTCTCCTTTCAGCACGTCCACCACACACCCTGTGAGATAAAATCAAGATGCAGGATAATTGATAAAGGGAAACATCTGCACATTCACACTCATGTACTGTAGGCAACCTGTAATTGGAGATCATTTTTGCATGTATCAAATAATTTAGTATTGAATAATTTATATTGTAAATGCATATACTTTTATTGAAAATATTTAGTTTTAGTTTAGCAATTATTATATATATATATAAATATGACTTGCTTTTTTTTCTGCAGAACAGTTTTTTTTTTTTTTACTTTGGTAAACTATGTATTTTATTTTATGACACATTTCATTCTTTATTTTTTTGAAACCCAGATATTTTATTGACACATTTCATTTTAAACATATGTGTTTATTTTAATGACATTTTAATAATTTATTTGTTTACATATATTTATATATTGACACATTTTTATATTATAATATTTAATTATTTGTTTATTTATTTATTTACTTACTTTTTTTATTTTATTTACACTTTTAATTAATTTAATTTTTAAAACATTTATTTATTTTAATGACATTTTAATGATTAATTATTGGTTTGTTTTGTTTATTTATACATTTTTATTTAATTATTTATTTACTGACATTTACATTTATTTAGTTTTATACACTTTTAATCAAAAATGTGTTTATTATTACGGCACTCGTCGGTGTTTTACACTGAGATCTTAAAGGAACAGTACAGCAAAAATCAGCCTGTTTGATTCAGAGGGTCAGAGAGAGGGTGTAAAAAGCTCATGAAAATTCAATTGTGGAAAATAAAAGACACATGTTTTTGCACACTTTTTTTGCCAATCATGGATTGACTTTCATTAATTTGGCTAATTTGAATGCGCAGTTATCCGGTCTTCCTGTTCCTGTGAATTCAGCTCGATCTGAATCGTCCAGAGCTGAGCAAAACTGTTGTGAGACTGAGTATTATTACTGATGGGAGATTTCTGCTTCCCGAGCGGAGAGTGTGTGAACACGGACGGATCCTTTAAGTGCGTTTGCGCGCAGGGCTACAAGAGCGCCGCTAACGGGACGTCCTGCCAAGGTATGACACCAGATGTGATGCACAGCCAACATCAAGCTGCCGTTCCTCACTAAACCTGTGGGGAAAAGACTGGCGCTTTTCTCAGCAACCTTGAATTTAGATTTGGAGTTGTTTCAATCTCTCCAGTGTGAAATATTCCTTAATTCTCTGATGGAATGATTAACTGCATTAGTCAAACGTCTGAAGTAAACGTTTCTCCTTTCAGCACGTCCACCACACACCCTGTGAGATAAAATCAAGATGCAGGATAATTGATAAAGGGAAACATCTGCACATTCACACTCATGTACTGTAGGCAACCTGTAATTGGAGATCATTTTTGCATGTATCAAATAATTTAGTATTGAATAATTTATATTGTAAATGCATATACTTTTATTGAAAATATTTAGTTTTAGTTTAGCAATTATTATATATATATATAAATATGACTTGCTTTTTTTTCTGCAGAACAGTTTTTTTTTTTTTTACTTTGGTAAACTATGTATTTTATTTTATGACACATTTCATTCTTTATTTTTTTGAAACCCAGATATTTTATTGACACATTTCATTTTAAACATATGTGTTTATTTTAATGACATTTTAATAATTTATTTGTTTACATATATTTATATATTGACACATTTTTATATTATAATATTTAATTATTTGTTTATTTATTTATTTACTTACTTTTTTTATTTTATTTACACTTTTAATTAATTTAATTTTTAAAACATTTATTTATTTTAATGACATTTTAATGATTAATTATTGGTTTGTTTTGTTTATTTATACATTTTTATTTAATTATTTATTTACTGACATTTACATTTATTTAGTTTTATACACTTTTAATCAAAAATGTGTTTATTATTACGGCACTCGTCGGTGTTTTACACTGAGATCTTAAAGGAACAGTACAGCAAAAATCAGCCTGTTTGATTCAGAGGGTCAGAGAGAGGGTGTAAAAAGCTCATGAAAATTCAATTGTGGAAAATAAAAGACACATGTTTTTGCACACTTTTTTTGCCAATCATGGATTGACTTTCATTAATTTGGCTAATTTGAATGCGCAGTTATCCGGTCTTCCTGTTCCTGTGAATTCAGCTCGATCTGAATCGTCCAGAGCTGAGCAAAACTGTTGTGAGACTGAGTATTATTACTGATGGCTTCTGCGTGGGATGATCTCATGCGTTGTGTGTGTGTGTGTGTGTGTGTGTGTGTGTGTGTGTGTGTGTGTGTGTGTGTGTGTGTGTGTGTGTGTT